TACTGATAATTGTTGTCAGCTTTTATTTGAGCAGTTGTTTCATTCGTTCATATCACATGTATTTATTGAGGGTCGGTCTGTGTCAGGAACCTTTGGAGTCTTACGGGTACAGAATACAAAAAAACAGACGAAATCCCTGAGTCACATATCCTTTTATAGGAGTCATGTAGATTCAAATATTGCCCAGGGCTTTGCCATATATTAAGCAATTTCATGAGAGCCCTGGGATTTATAAACATATCCTCAAAATTCCAGAAATAATCTATCTTCTTGGTATCCAAGCTTTCTTTTACCTTAATTGGTGAGCCAAACTCAAAGGCAGTAAATGGTGCTCCTGTCCTCCTAGATCACATACACTAGATAATTAGTTAAAATTTTTTATTAAAAAAATCTCAAAGCCTGTGAGTCTGAGTGCATTATGAAAATAAAAGGTAAAAAAAAAAAAAAAGTGTAATTGTAATAAAGCATTTCAGTAGACTTCAAGTGTGTCAATAATAGAAGTGAAAATATCTGGTCTGTTTTAGTACTGCTTTAAAATCAACAAGGAACATGTCATAAAAAAAAGACAGTTACAGGATGGACCTTGAGTGTATTAAGTGAAATAAGCCAGAGAGAGAAAGACGAACTCTGTATGACTCCACTCATGGGTGGAAGTTAAACACATAGACAAAGAGAACTGATTGGTGGTTACCAGGCGAAAAGGGGGGTGGGGGGAGAGCACAAAGGGTGAAGTGGTGCACCTACAACATGACTAACAATAATGTACAACTGAAATTTCACAAGGTTGTAAACTATCATAATCTTAATAAAAAGTTAAAAAAAAAGACAGTTACAATTATCAACAGCTAGAAATACGAAGAAAGAATAGCCTCTTGCATGCAAATTATTCTCAAATTGCTTTCCCATATGCTTGCAGGTCCAAGTTCCGAAGTAATGACTGGCTTGCTTGCTGGCAGCTGTAGTACTGGTATTAAATAACACAATTAGTCAAGCAAATAGTCAATGTAAAACAATATATGAACATGTAACAGTTAAAGTCGGAAATTCTTTTAAAGCACACCAAACATTTACTAATACTCTCAAATGTTTGGAAATTAAGCAATTTATTTGCACATAATTTACGGAAATTGAAAGATATTTCATCTGAATGAGAACATACTACATAATCTATGAGTTGCAGCTAAACTGAGATTACATGGTAATTTATAGTCTTACAGGTATATAAATTTGAATTTAAAAAAGGTTGAAAAATGATGAGCTTTGTATCTACCTCAAGATGTTAGAAAAAGACCAGTAAATTAAGGGGAAAAAAAAATAAAGAAAAAGTAGAAATTAATGAGATAAAAAACAAATATATAATTTAACATTAAAAAAGGGAAATATCACAACCAACTTTGGTTTATTCTATGAAGACAAAGTTGACTTAACATTAGGAAATCAATTTAATGGAAAAAAGAAAAATAATGCAATCATCTCAAAAGATGCAGAAAAAACTTCATGAAATTCAACATCCATTCATAAGTAGCCAGTAAACTAGAAATAAAAGGGAATTTCTTTAACCAACAAAGAGTAAATACACAAAAATTAATGGTTTTTCTATACACAAGCAATAAACAATAAGAATAAAATTTTTAAAGACAATTTACCACTGCATCAAAATATCAAATATAACTAAAAATAAATTTAATAAAAGATGTTCAAGACCTCAACAGAGAAAGCTATAAACCATTACTGAAAGAAATTAAGTTGATCCTAAATTTATCCATAGATTCAATGCAAATTCCAATAAAAATCTGCAGTTTTCAAGTGTGCAAGGAAACTGACAACTGATTCTAAATTTACAAGGAACGGTTAAAGAATAACAAGAAAGATTTGCTCAACAAAACCTGACCCTTACATTACACTATACACAAAATCAATTCCAAGTGAAGTAAAAAATCTGAAAGGGAAAATAATAGAATGTCTAGAAAAAAAAAAAAGAGACTATCTAGGGTAGGGAAAGATTTCTCAAACCAGACGTAAAAAGTACTCAACACCAAGACAAAGACTAAGTTTTTCTACATTAGCCCTACAAACCTCTGTTCATCAAAGACACAGCAGGAAAAGAGATGTGCAACACATCGCTGACAAAGGACTTGAATCTAGAATATACACAGGACTCCAACAAATCAAGAAAGACAGACAACCCAGTAGAAAAAGAGATCTGAACAGCATTTCATGAAAGTGGATAACTAAATGACCAAGGAAAGAGTATATGAAGAGACGCTCAATTATTTCAACACTGATTACTACGGAGAATAAAGAGAAATACAAACTACAAGCAGGAAATACCATTCTATACCCACCAGTAAGGGCTAGAAATAAGTCCAACATTATCAAGTGTTGAGAGGATATGAAACAAAAGAAATTCTCATAAACCATTAGTAGCAGTGTAAATTGGCACAACTGCTATAAAAAAGTTTCCACTTAAAGGCTGAAGATACATGCGTCCCTTATGTCTGAACAGTTCCACTTCCAGGTGTACATAACCGAGAGAAACGAATGTGCACAATGCACCAGGAGACATGTTCAATAAAGTTTACAGAAGCATTATTCACAATAGATAAAAACTGGAAACAACCCAAACACCCATCAACAGTAGCAGAAAACACAGACAGTAATATATTCATGCAAGTGTACGCTATGTTGCCATGAAAATGAAAGAAACTACAGCTCCACACAGCGTGGATTAAATCTCACAAAGATAGTGTTGAACAAAAAAAGCAAACATACACAAAACAAATATTGTGAGATTCCACTTAAATGAAGGGAATAAAATCAGGTAAAACTAAAGTGTTGAGGAATGCACACTTAGGTGGAAAAATTACAAAGAAAAGCAAGAAAGTAATTAGCATATAGTAATACAGGACAGTGATTCTAGGGGATGGAAACAGGTACCAATTGGAAGGGGATTCAAAAGGGATTCTGGGGCTGGCAGTCTAACACTTCCTGACTTGGGCAGGGGTTACACATGTGTTGCCTTTGTGATCATTCTCTATGTTGTATTATTAAAAAATTTACTTTACGCTAAATAATAGGACCAAATGTCCCCCAAATATCAGAAAAAAGTACCAGTTTTTTATTATACAAAAATGACTCCAATTCAAAATTGAAGCCAAAAACCCAAGATTTCTGTCAGATTTAATTTTTCTGAAAACACAAAAAAATTACATTTAGCAATAAACGGAAAGAACATAGCTAATGCATAAATTCAGTGTTAATACTATGCCCCCCAGCCAACATCCACCATAATGACTGTCTCAGTCTGTAACAGGAAACCATAGACTGGTGGATTACAAACAACAGAAATACCATAAACTGGGAATTTTGATAAGGGGGCCTCATAAACCGCTGTCGGGACCCTTTCGTTTGTCAGCTGGCTGGCTCACTCAAAGATGTTTATAAAGGAACTGCCACAGTCCTGTTCTGCCCAGCTAACACCTTTCATCTTATAAATCACTCTCACAAGAGCACCTAAAAATCCAAGGCCCAGACAACTAGAATTTTTACTCAACTTTACATCATTAAAGTCTAACTCTCCTTTAGTGTCTTAAACATTGAAGTTTCTTAGTTTCATCCACTTTTGACTAGCATATGTCTGAGACTTTAGGTACAGTGCCTAAAATTCTTTGGGACCTGCAAAATTAAATATTCTATGAATACATGCATCATCTTAGTTCTAAAGATATTCTCCTCCTAACAAATATTTTCTAAATATCTTCTCTGTGCCAAAAAGTACTGTTTTAAACGCAGGCGATACAAAAGTCTCAGACTGGCTCCACCTTTCACCTCAAAGCATTTACAACATATTTGGGAAAACTATACAGAAAAACGTTCCTATCTTTACTACACTGCAACCAGCAATAACATCGCTAGCACTGGATTTCAACTACTGATCCCCCAGTGGACGGGAGAACTTTTCAGTGTCAGCAGCCGTCTAAGCTACAATTCATCTCTGTACCCTCAGGACCCAAGCAGCACCTGGCAAACAGTAGTAGATTAAAAAAAAATGCTGAATGAATGGACAAAACAACTAAGACGAGTTGGCACATGACACATGGGAAATAACAGACACTGAAAAGAATACAATATCGAGACTCGACCACCCCGTGGGGCCTCTGGCCAGCTCACACGTATCCCCATCAGATTACTTTCCTACTGTCCATTCTTCTTCACCTCCACCCCCTCCCCTTCACTCCAGCCTCCAGCTCACAATTCATTCACTCATTTAATAATCTGATGTACACTAAGCACTTACTGCAAGCTAGGCAGTGGATCGAGTATCAGTGATACAAACATTAATAAAAATCATATTCTGACAAAGGAACCTACAATCTAGCAGGAAAGACACACATAAAGAACGATAACGTTTTACATGCTAAAACAGGGGTCTACACAAAGCGTTATAAGGGCACAGGTGAGGAAGCACCTCACTCTGCAGGGATCAGGGTCACAAAAGGCTTTCACAGAGAAAAGCTCTAAACTCGGAGGTCTTTGAGAGATGAGCAAGATTTCGCCGGGTGCTGCACAGTGCGACGAGGCCCGCGAGCGTGAGTGTGGCTACAACTGTGCAAGGCACCGCAGAGGGATGACGACGACCAGGTTGGGAAGACCTGTCACCGCCGCCTGTCGGGTGACACCGTGAGGGCGAATGGTAATTGCTGAAGATTTTTAAAACAGAAAATTCACTGGCGCTACGACAAACACCGAAACGACAGCGCGGCCAATAGACTACGAAGAGGAGGTTCTCTGAGGAGCGCTCCTTCCCAGCCCCGAGACGCGGCCCGCTTCGCGCATCTCAACACTCACGGCCACACAAACCCGGCGCTGGCCGCGCGCCTCCGGGCCCCGCCGCCCCCTCGCCTCCGCGGCGCAGCCCTTCCCGGCGCCGGGAGCCGCGCGCTCCTCCCCCGCGCGCTCCTCTGCCTCCTCGGCTCCGCCCGCCGCGGCCCCACGCGCACCCCCTCGGTCTTCATGTCCAGGATCTTCTCCACCTCGAACACATCCTCCCCGTCCTCCTCGCTGTCCGCTGCGGCCTCCGCGCCTCCCGCGCCTGCGTCCTCTTCGCCCACGGCTCCTACTCCTTCTCCTTCAACCTCCGGCGACTCGCCCTTGCCGTCGGCACCTGAAGCGGGAACTGCAATCACGCTCGCCCCCTCCTCCTCCTCCGTCGCCGCTGCCGCCGCCGCCGCCATAGCAGCAGCTCCGCAAACCGCCCAGGAAAAGCGGCTGCGACACACACGGCGGCGGCCGCTCGCGCTCCGCACCGGCCGTGACGCGGCTGGGAGGGAACGCGCCAATGGCGGGCTCGGGACCCTGGAGCGACGCGCACATCAGCCAATCAGGTGAAGGCGAGCGCGCCGGAGCCTGGGAGCCTCGGAAGCGGGTGGGCGGGCCGAGGGGGGGCGCTCGGGACGGAAGGGCGGGGCCGCGGCGCTGGCCAGCGAGGAGGGAGGGGCGGGCGCAGGCCCTGGAAGCGGAGGCGGGCTCGCCGCGGGGCCACTGTCTTTCTGCCGCGCGTGGCGGCCTCCGGAGGCTTTCCTCGGAAAGGGAGAGCACCCGCCTGCGCCCCGAGCTGGAGCGGCGAGAAGCAACGCCCAGCGATTCATGGATGTGATGAGACACAGCGCACAAGTGCTGTTATGTTTAGTGAGTATTGTTTAAAGATATAAATTTTAAAGGTTATCAGGTTAAATACCATGTTTTCCAAGTTCTAGTTTTTTTTTCTTTCCATTGAAAATATCAGAGGACACGATAAAAAGATTTTGTCCAGGTTTTGAATGTTGGGAAAATCCACTTAAGGATACAATATTGGACAGTGTCAAGATGGTGGCATAGGCACACTCTGAACTCACCTCCTGCCAGGGACAAAACAAATTTACAGCTACTCTTGGAACAATTACCCCTGACAGAGAACTGAAAACTGGATGACAAGAACTCTTGCAACAGGGGACAGTCCTGACTGAGATGGAAGAGGCAGAATTCCTTCCTGGAGAGAAAAAAGCCACCTTCGGAAGCCACAAAGTGTCACAGCCAGCCAGGAGCAATCCTAAGGTACACAGCCCTCCTGGAGGAACGGGGGCCTGAGCAAGGTAGCATCACCGTAATGAGCAGCTTCAGGACTCAGCACAACTGAGACAAGTGTCATAATATCTGATGTTGCTGGTTACTAACAACAACAGCGAATACCCCAGAAAAGCTATGGGATGTTAGGGGGAAAAAAAAGCCAGCTGTTAAAGGGCCCACACACAAATTCACCTGTGTTGGAGAGCAACCTAAAATCACCAGAAAAAAAGGTTCACAGTTCTTTGGTGGAAAGAGACTCACCTGATAGGCTCTGGGTGCATCTTGGTGAGAGGTGAGATCTCTCCAGGTACTGAGAATTGGCAGCCATTATTGTGACCAAGTACAGGTGTGCTGACACAGACACTGGCGGATGCCATTGGCATCCTTCCCCATGCACTAGAGCACCAATTTAGTCCAGGTCAGCCAGGGCAGGCAGCCTGCCCTAGGGGCTGGCCCCACCCAACAGCAAGCTCTCAGGCTACTTGTGGGCCGACATAGGCAGAGAAGGTCTGCCTACGTGGGTCAAAGCGTGTGTGAGGAGCACGTGGAATATGTGGGGCCTTGCAGTGGGGCAACTGGGTCTGCTCCAGGGGATTGGGGCATGCAAATGGGGCAGGAATACATTGACAGGGTCTCTTTGGCGCTGTGGGTGGTGGGCTGTTTCAGCTGCAATAGACTTGTGCTTCTCAAACAGCCACATAGGGATCAGCCCCACCTCCCAAAGCCTGAAACAATTGGGTGCTCCCATGCCTGGGCCAGCCTTAGTCAGCAGCAATCCTGAGAGAGCTGACAAGAGCCTTGCAGGCTGGAGGCCAACAGCAATTATAAGCCCCTGGGCCTAGCAACCAGCCATGCTGGAGGCCTAATCACTTAACAGGAAACCTACAACAGGAATGTGCTATTAGATCTTGTAGCCAACTGTGCTGGGGCTCCCCATGCCAGATAAAGTGACTGAAGGGTCCATAGCAGCCACATGCAGCTGAGCATTACAACCAGCCGGCCAGGGGGACAGCCTGGCCTCCCCATGCACTTGCACCAAGAGCAACCCTGCTGAACAGAAGGACACACATAACCCACACAGGGATATTCCTGGAACCTTTGGAACTGGTGACAAGATAGAAGCACACTGCTGGGCCTCATAAGGCATCTCTTACATAAGACCACCTCTTCAAGGTTGGGAGACATAGCTGAGTTACCTAATACAGAGATAGAAGGATAGCGAAAAATACAAAATAAGGAGACAAAGGAATACGTTCTAAGTAAGAGAACAGGACAAAACCAGAGAAAAAGAACTAAATGAAAAAGAGATAAACAATGTAACAGATGAAGAGTACAAACTAACAGTCATAAGGGTGCTCACTAATCTTGGAAGAAGAATGGATGAACTCAGTGAGAACTTCAAGAAAGAATTGGAAAACAAAAAAAGAACCAATCAGAAACAAAGACTACAATACTGGAAATCAAAAATTCACTAGAGGGACTCAATGGCAGAGTAGATGATACAGAAGAATGGATCAGTGAGCTGGATGAAAGACTAGAGGAAATCACCCAAGCTAGTCAGATAAAAGAAACAAGGATTATAAAGAATACGAACAGTCTAAGGGGGGCTGGCCCTGTGGCCAAGTGGTTAAGTTCGCACACTCTGCTGCAGGAGGCCCAGTGTTTCATTGGTTCAAATCCTGGGCACAGACACAGCACTGCTCATCAGACCATGCTGAGGCAGTGTCCCACGTGCCTCAACTAGAAGGACCCACAATGAAGAATGTACAACTATGTACCGAGGGGGCTTTGGGGAGAAAAAGGAAAAAAATAAAATCTTAAAAAAAAAAAAAAAGAACAGTCTAAGGGAACTCTGGGACAATATCAAGCACAATAACATTCGTCTTGTAGGTGTCCCAGAAGGAGCAGAGAGAGACAAAGGGGCAGAGAATCTATTTGAAGAAGTAATAGCTGAAAACTTTCCTAACCTAAGGAAGGAAACAGATGTCCAGCTACAGGAAGCACAGAGAGAGAGAGAGCACCAAACAAGATAAAGCCAAAGAGGCCAATACCAAGGCACATTATACTTAAAAAGTCAATAATTAAAGAGAGAATCCTAAAAGCCACAAGAAAAAGGCAACAAGTTATACACAAAGAAACACCATAAGGCTATCAGCTAACAGCAGAAACCTTACAGGCTAGAAGGGAGCGGCACAATATATTTAAAGTGCTGAAAGGAAAAAGCCTATAGCCAAGAATTCTCTGTCTGGCAAGGTTACCATTCAGAATGGAGAGAGAGAGAAAATTTCCCAGAAAAGCTTAAACTAAAGGAGTTTATCACCAAAAAACCAGCCTTACAAGACATGCTAAAGGGACTTATTTAAGTGGAAAAGAGAAGACCACAAATAGGAATAAGAAAATTATATTTAAAAAAAGACAATAAAATCACTGGTAAAGGCAAATATACAGTAAGGGTAGCAGATCAACCACCTGTGAAGCTAATATGAAGGCCAAAAGACAAAACTACTAAAATTGTCTATTTCCTTGGTAAGAGAGTAACAGATACACACACAAAACAAAAAAGAGGTTAGATATGATATCAAGAACGTAAACTGTGTGAGGGGAGTAAAACAGTAGAACTTTTAGTAAGAGGTCAAACTAAAGAGACCATCAACTTAATATACATTGTTATATATGTAGGTGATTATACGTGAACCTCATGGTAATCACAAATCAGAAACCTATAATAAAAACATAAAAAGTTAAGAGAAAGGAACCCAAACATAATACTAAAAGCCATCAAACCACAAGGGAAGATAGCAAGCGATAAAGAAAGGAACGGAGAAGAATTACTAAAACACCGTGAGAAAAAGTAACAAAATGACAACAAGTACATACTTACCAATAGTTACTTTAAATGTCAATGGGCTAAATACTCCAATCAAAAGGTGTAGGGTGGTTGATTGGATGAAAAAACAAGACCCATATATATGCTGCATACAAGAGACACACTTCAGACATAAAGATGCTCACAAACTGAAAGTGAAGAGATGGAAAAAGATATTCCATGCAAGTGGCAATGAAAAGAAACCTGGGGTAGCAAGACTTAATATCGGACAAAATAGGCTTTAAAACAAAAACTGTAACAAGAGACAAAGAAGGGCACTACATAATGATAAAGGGACCAAGCTAAGAAGAGGATATAACACTTGGAAATATCTGTGCACTCAACATAGGAGCACCTAAATATATAAAGCACTTATTAACAGACATAAAAAGAGAAATAGAAACACAATAATAGTAGGGAACTTTAACACACCACTTACACCAATGGTTACCTCATACAAACAGAGGATCAGTGAGGAAACACTGGCCTTAAATGACACGTTAGACTAGATGGACTTACTAGATATGTACAGAACATCCCATCCAAAAACCACAGAGTACACATTCTTTTCAAATTCACATGGTACATTCTCTAGGATAGATCACATATTAGGCCACAAATCAAGTCTAATAAATTTAGGAAGATTGAAATAATACCAAGCGTCTTTTCTGACCACAATGGGATGAAACTAGATACCAACTACAGGAAGAAAATTGGAAAAGCCACAAATAGGTGGAGATTAAACAAAATGCTACTGAACAATGATTGGGTCAATGAAGAAATTAAGGAGAAATAAATACTTGGAGACAAATGAAAATGAAAATACAACATGCCAAAATTAATGGGAAACAGCAAAAGCGGTTCTAAGAGGGAAGTTTATAGCAATACAGGCCTAACTCAACAAACAAGAAAAATCTCAAATAAACAATATAACAGTGCACCCAAAGGAACTGGAAAAAGAAGAACAAAGCCCAAAATCAGCAGAAGGAAGGAAATAGAAATCAGAGCAGAATAAATAGAGACTTAGAAAACAATAGGAAAAATCAATGGAACTAAGAGCTGGTTCTTTCAAAAGATAAACGAAATTGACAAGTCTTTAGCTAGACTCACTGAGAACAAAAGAGAGAAGGCACAAATAAATAAAATCAGAAATGAAAGAGGATAAATTACAACAGACACCTCAGAAATACAAAAGACTGTAAGAGAATACTACAAAAAGTATACACCAAAAAATTAGATAATCTAGAAGAAATGGATAAATTCTAAGACTCATACAATGTTTCAGAACTGAATAAAGAAGGATAAGGGAATTTGAATAGATCAGTCACAAGTA